ACACGCACCGGCTCATTTATCCAGACCTACTCAACATATGAGAGCCCCCCGGGAACCGGCCACAATGCATTTGCAGACAACAGAAACCTCTTAGTCTAACTATTGTTACAGCCATGTTAATAGTTGAAAAAGGCAGTCGGAATAGGGGTCAGTTAGAAAAGGACTAAGTTTCAGGACTGAATGCTCGTTATTTTATGTGCAAGAAGGGTGTGACGACTTTGATATTTTCATGTAATTTGACACAAAAAATAAGCATTAAGCAGTAAACGCCTCCGAATTCTCACACTTTATGCCAGAGTCAAATAGAACATGGACAGTTCTATTTTCCGTTGTTTGTGCTTCAGTTGGAGAGTGTGATTGGTTAACAGTGCGTAACAAAGTTTGAAAATGATTTCAGTCGTTCCTAGTCTGCTGACAAAATATGCCGAGTGATGAACGTCTCGTGGGCACCAAAATGGTAGGCTGGGCCCATCGGTTGCGCAAAATAAAAGTAGACCTTATGATAGGTTCACTTTTCCCCGGATGAATTTTGAAGTTTAGCTGATGTCAATTCGACCGGCACGGCGTCTTTCCAACAAGGGGATACGACTATGAATAACGTGAAAACCTGGTTGCCAAAACTGCATTCAAAAGTCATTTTCGAATCTTCGTCATCCTTACCTTCTTCTGCGCAGTGATAGTGAAGAAAACTCAATTTTTGTTTCGCATACAGGCCTTTTAGGTGAATATACTTTTTTCTTCTCCAAAACAAACTTATGAACACATATTCCTTCGGGGACAGGGAGTATTCACTGATCGCGTAACGGGATATACTCGTCCTATTGTGTCTAGGAACTCAATTTGGAGTCCATATAGCAACAATCAGTCAATCATATCCAATCCCATCCTTTGAACCTCCTGAGGCTTGAATCCACGATCTGTCGGTTAGAAGTTCAACGTGCTAGCCATTTTCATACAAGATACATCACCGTCACGGGGCAGTTATCCCCAGTTTTTAAGTGTTCTGATAATGATCTGATGTATTAACTTATTTATCTCCATTTGGATACCTGGAAGCTAAAACTCGAAGCTTGCCCTGCATTACAACATCGGATAAAGTAGTATAGTTGGGACACCCCATGAACACGTAAACGAATTCCGACTATAAAATAAGAGGTACTATGCGGCATTGTTATATTTCGATTGATCCACATTTAAAAAATTCGCGGCCTCGGGGTAGTCGAACCCATACAGCAGGGGAGGTTTTTGCGTAGCGAACGCTCTACCATTCAGTGGCGAGGCTCACCGTGCGCCGTGAATTTAATCACACTTGGGTCGATTTGCTAGCTCACCTTTTCTGTTAATATGGAATCCACCAATACGGACGCATTAAGCTGACTGCCAAGTGGGATTTCCTACTTAATCATGTAAGAGCCACCGGATGGACTACTAGGCTAACTTTGGTTTGGCAGATTTCAATAATTCGATCGACCCAATTGTGAAAAATTAGCGGCCTCGGTGTTATATTTATGTACTTCTCTCTTGACTAGGCACTAGCGCCCACATGTTAACAAATTGAGAAAATTCCCCCAAGTCTATGTGTATTGATTGGTTACTAGGTCTGTGCACTAGTCTTCTACGCGCTGAGAATTGTCAGCCGATCGATACATCTAAGAGCGGCCCGCAACCCACAAGGAGTCGAGTCGAATGTTATGAGTTTTTGTAAATTATAGAAACTGAAAAGAAACCTTCGGCATGACTGACTTCGAACGGAAGCACACGTTTTCTGGCGTCTCGTCCCCTGTTTGCTCTATTTCGTAATTTTCAATGTTCTCCTTAATCATACTACGAACTATGTCAGTTTCTTTCGTTGAAAATACCTATTCTCCACGGCTAAGAGATTCGCCTAACATTCCTTGCAGAAATATAACTCAGACTGCAATAGGCTCCAAGTGCAAACTAGCAATATGGAAATGCCGGTTATACACACGGTCAGGAAACGTGTCATTAACAGCTCAGCGTTACCACGCTCGGCTTCCGGTCAGGGGACTAGGGTTCGATACCACCTGGCTGTCGGAATTCCCCATTTTTATTAGTCTGTCGATTTAAATATTATAAGTCCTAGGCGGTGGTCTTAGAGAGCCTTAGATAGTGAGTGGGAAAAGGGTGTGGCAATAGAAGTAACTTTCTTATTAATTATAAACTCAGTCTGAGTGTAGGTAGTGTTATATATTTGGGATAGTCTTTCACGTTGACTGTTTGCGTATAAGGCATCAGTGTACTCTTCATATTTAAACAGACGCTGCACTCGAGCCCATACAGAAGTTTAAAGTAAAGGAACAAGTCAAACTTTCCCACCCTCATAATTCGGAGACATGAATAGTTATCCCATTCAAACTGTCAGTATTTTGCTCGATGATTGCTTTTTTCCGTTGTAATAACGAGTCCAGTAGTTAGATGACCTGTCATCTTTTTTTAGTTCAAATTACTTTTTGTATAGGAATTATTACTACTATTGTTATCACTGTTATCATCCAATCCTATTTTCTCCTCCCTTTGTTCCATGGAAATCCTCATCTCCGCGCCGCAGCTCACTCCGGTTATCGTGGATCAGGTCATGGCAGGGCTCTCCGCCAATTACAGGGGTGCCTTGGGTGTCACAGAGAGCCAGTACGTGTCCACTTACTCGCATATTATGGACACCATCATGGTTGATGTAAGTGAACGTTTTTTCATTGTTTATGGGCTTTTACGTTTTTATGCTCATCACAGCAGTTGGCTGAACGTATGTGCTACGTGTACCTTAATCTCACAAAAATGTGGCGCCAGTCAGTCAAAACGTTTAAAAATTTCGGTATATGCTGCTTTTTAAACATGCCCTGACAAATCCAGTACGGGAGAGTATGTCGAGACGTCATTCTACTTAACGAGCTGAAGTCAGTCCAGTGTATATTTCGACTGCGACCCTCTCTCAGTCCTGAAATTATTGACATTCTGCCCAACTAGGTATCCTCTTTCCGATACCTTGGTGTTACTCTGGCATCCAATCTTACATTTGCTTTTCATATAGAAGGCTTTTTTTATTAAAATCCATAAACTTTTATCTCATATCCGCCGTTTGCGTTTATATCGCACACCGCAAGCCCTAATCTGGCGATTTATAGATGCCTGCATTCTC